GAGTGGAGGACCAATCAGACCTGAACAATCCTTTTACCCTTTTCGATCTTTAGCCAGAGACTGTTGCATACAGGAAATACCGAGCTCAGGGAACAATCTATCATGGGGTGGTTTCAGAGAGACCATTGGCGCAAATGGTCAAAAAGAGACTATGTGGATTCAGTATCGCCTTGACAGAGCTTTTGGCAATGCAGAATGGTTTAAACTATTTCCAAGGTGACATTCCAAATATCTGAAACGAGATATGTCGGATCATAAACCATTATTTACATGGTTGGTTAAAGAAGATGATGGACATTGAGGGAGATTTTTGTTTGATAAACGATGGTGTGAAATTCCGGAGGTTAGAGATATTGTTCGCACAGGTTGGAATAAACATCAGAGTTTGGGGACCCATAAAGCTTCCGACAGAATCTCGGACTATCGTAAAGAGTTGGCGAGATGAAAACGATGATCACCTTCCAACTCTAACATTAACATTCAGAGGTTGCAATTGGAATTGGACATGGAATCATCAAAGGTGAATCCCTCTTCCCAAAAGATGATCGATCTAAAAACGGAGCTACTAAAAGCGATTCATGAAGAGGAACTTTATTGGCAACAAAAGAGCAGGGACAAATGGTTGATGGCAGGAGACATGAATACCCGTTGGTTTCATGGGAGTGTTAAATCTAGGAAGATGAAGAACAAGATTGTCAGCCTAACTGATGCAAACGGAGTGGAGCAATTTGCAGAAACTGTCAGAAGGGAAATAGCAGTGGACTATTTCAAAACCTTATTCAGATCATCCAAACCGAAGAATGTGGACTAGTTGCTTCAGGGGTTTAAAGCTAAGGTGATTGATGTGGAGATACGAAGACCTATTAGAGGAATCAAGGGAGATCGTGCACCTGGTGCAGATGGTATGACTGGGAAGTTTTTTCAACAGTTCTGGGCGATCACGGGTTTGCAAATTACTGCAGAGGTGAAGATATTTTTTGCAAATGGAGATCTCCCGAAAGACTGGAACTTCACGCAAATATGTCTGCTACCGAAAAAGCCTAACCCGACCTTGATGACGGATCTTAGGCCTATTAGCCTCTGTTCGGGACTTATAAAATCATATCAAAGATTTTATGCTCGCGGCTGAAACGGTTTTTACCAACACTGATATCGCCGGCACAGGGGGCTTTTGTAGAAGACAGATTAATATCAGACAATTTGCTTATTGCTCATAAAATGATCCATGGCCTTCACACCAATCCTTCATGCAAGGAATATTTCATTGCCATAAAAACAGATATGTCAAAGGCGTACGATCGAGTTGAATGGGACTTCTTGGAAGCTTTATTCACTCGGATGGGGTTTGACTGCAAATGGATTAACTGGATCATGATTTGCATTCGTTCGGTATCATATATTGTGTTGCTTAATGGACAAGTTCATGGATCCATTATTCCTGAAAGAGGTATCCGTCAAGGAGACCCTCTATCTCCCTTCATATTCATTTTGTGCGCTGAGGCATTGGTTCATGTCATGAATAAGGCTGCAAAAGATGGGCAAATTACTGGTATGAGACTAACTAAGAGGTGTCCGTCAATACAGCACCTCCTGTTCGTGGATGACAGCTTGTTCATGTGTCATTCTACTCTGTCGGAATGTTCGGCATTCCTTGAATGTTTGCAACTCTACGGTGAAGCTTCAAGACAGGAGATCAATTTCCAGAAGTCGGCGATCACGTTTGGTGCAGCAGTGGATCCGTTTATGAAGCATTTTATATCCTGTTTCCTTGGAATTAACAAAGAGGGCGGAGATGGCACATATTTAGGCTTACCTGAATGCTTCAGTGGCTATAAGAAGAGATTGCTAGCTTTTATCGGGGAAAACTAGGTAAACGCCTCAAATGATGGTTTGCTAAAACTTTATCTCTTGGAGGAAAGGAAATTTTTCTTAAATATGTGGCCATGGCATTACCTGTCTATGTCATGTCTTGCTTCAGATTATCGAAATTCCAATGCCAAAAAGTCACTAGCGCTATGCCTGAATTTTGGTAGAGTGCATGTGAAAAGAAACGGAAGATTCACTGGGTGGCTTGGAAGGATTTGTGCAAATCAAAGAATAATGGTGGGATTGGGTTTCGTGACATTGTAGATGTCAATCAAGCTCTACTAGCTAAGCAAGCATGGATAATCTTAAATGAGCCAAACTCCCTAATTTCAAAGCTATACAAGGGATGATACTTTCCTCACAAGATTTTTTTGGAATGTGGCGAAGGATATAGACCTTATGCGTGGAGGAGTCTGTTACATGGTTGAGGGCTTCTAACGAGGGGATTAATGAAGTCAATTGGAGATGGTAGGAGTACGCAGGTTTAGACAAAGAGATGGATTCTTGATGGAACTCTGCGATGACCAGTGAACAAACAGTTGATGTACGATGTGGCCTTTAAAGTAGAATCATTAATTGCACAGAACGGCACTTGGAATACCGATATACTGAATGGTTTATTTCCGCCGGCAGATGTCCAAAGAATTCAGAACATGCCGCATGGGAGTACGGAAGATAAACATATTTGGGCTTTCACAAACAACAGTTCTTACTCTGTGAAAAATGGTTACTGGTTTTCACTAATCACCCATTAGTTCCCATACCACCGAAATCACCTCAGGAACAAGTACGTGTCGATATCAAAAAAAAAATTTGGAAACTCAAGACATTGCCAAAGATTCGAATGTTTCTATGGAGAATGGTTCCAGGAGCTTTGGCGGTGTCTGAACGATTGGTAACCTGAGGCATTCAGGTCGACACTACTTGTAAAATCTGTAGAAATGATACTGAATCAATCTTCCGATGTAGTATGGCTCAACTGCTACTATCTATCGCCAAGATCCAACCGCCTACTGTAAGTTGGTCGACATCTGTGGAGGATAACCTCACTCATTGTCTGGATTTAATGGATAGTGCAACAACAGATGAGAAAGTGAAACAAGGGGTTCCATAGATTCTATGGTCAATCTGGAAGAACATAAACGCCATTCTCATTGAAGGAAGATTAGATGAGCCTCACACCATCATTCAACGAACACTTGAAGATGGTTAAGCTTGGTACAATGTATACTCTCTTCCTCTGGGGAATGCATTACAGAGACCAAGCCATGTCACTATGGAGAATCATTGGCAGAAACTGAGCACTGATATTATCAAGTATAATATTCATGCTAATTAGAGAAACACGGTTTTGCATAGTGGTGGAGCATGGATTGCCCGAGATAGTGCAGGTGATGTCAAATTTCATGCTCGTGAAGCATTCACAAGATCTCCGAATCACCTGATTTCAGAGTTTGGATGCATCATATGGGCTTTACAAAGTCTACGGGACCTGCATCTCCAGAACATTTTGGTATCATCCGACTACACTGCAGTCATGGAAGCCATTTCGAGACCTTCATTGTGGCCCAGATATCGTGCTTATACAGAGTACATTAATAAGTTGCGTTCTTGCTTTCAAATTTGCGAATTTGAAGTAGAGAGTCCATCGGCTAATAAACCGGTGAGGAAAATTGCACAAAGTGTCACCAGGAATGGTAGATATCAGTCCTACTTGGTTTTAGGAGGTCCATCATGATTACAAGATGTGTTGCAACAAGATACGACAACCAACATCTAACTATCCTTATTATTCGGAGTCTGATGTTTCCATCGAGTTGATCTCTGGTTAAGTTGTTTTTATTTTATGTACTATGTACTCCCGATCCTTATCAGTAATGAATACTCGGACGTTTAAAAACAAATATGAAACGGATAAAGTATAAAGAAAAAGACAACTAATGGTTTCTATGCTATTCGAATTTGGTATCTTATTCATTTGTACAATTTATCTCATGTTTTTACTACTAAAAGTAGCAGATTATAACTGTTAAGTAATGTTTTACCCTCCAATAATTCATATGGAGGATGATAATAAAGACTACTCCTAGTTAGACGAAGACCAAAAACATTTTTACATTCTTATACTACATGTATAAATTTTGTGTGAATCATGAACATAATCTTTATCGATTGGAGATCAAAACATGTAATTTATAGACTGAAATGTACATAAACGATATATAGTCAACAGATATTATTTGACACATAGCACTAACATTCATTCATTACACGTATTGAATGAAGCCATTGCACCTATCTAGCTAATCCATGTTTTCTTTGTATCAAACATCTGACATATCGGGACATATTTTTTTATTTTTGTTGTTGTTGTTGTTGTAGTCTATCCTTTTTAATTGAATGTTACATTTTACTTCTTTCGATAAAATGCCAAAAACTTGTTAAAATTAAAAATATATACAAATCTATGTCATATTCACTTTTTAAAACAAGATCATCACTTTATATTTTTTAAGTTCTTACAAAGAGTTTAGAGAAGTTTTTTTCGGCATTATATACATGGGATGGGACCAAAAGGATTAAATTTTCCAACATCTCAACAGCTACCGCTAAGCAACATCGATGCATAAAGTCAAACATTCTGAAACCACATTTACACCTCAAAGTTTTCTCTTCCATATCATTTTGGGTTTCGTATATGCACATCATCATTTACCAAAACTATCACATTCTCAAGAAAAAAAAGAAGTAAATAATAATGCAAAAAAGGTCACGGGTTGGTTAGAACATTAGGAAGAACTAATTTGGTAGATTAAAAAGTTGTATGAAAATATATAAAGTTATAAACTGTCGTCTAAAAAAAAAGTTACGCAGAAGTCAACGCGTAGCCGAAGTTTTGGATCAAAGCAGTCAAATATCAAAAAAACATCTTCCAATTCCATATTCGAACACAAGACCTTGTCAACGCGTCCCGCATTACTGAAATGACAAAATTACCCTCGTCTAGACTCGTGTCAAAGCCGACGAAGTAGAGGTTGTTTTCGTCAAAGTAGCCACGCTTTTGACATTGGACCTTTTTCTCATGATTAATAAAAAGTTTAAAAAACTTTGATTTACCAAAAGAGAAAAATCATTAATGTGTTAAATCATGAAAATGGTTGTCATGTTCATCGAATCATTCAACACATTTCTCTTTTTCTTTTCTTCCTGAATCTTTCTTTCCTCTTTCTTCGTTGTCAAAATCCAATCAGAACCTTCTGATTTCTTAGCTCCGCCGCGTGAAATCTCAGCTCCGAGATAGTTTCCCGGTAAAGAACCGCCGCGATGTCTTTCCTTTTCCGTAAGAACGGTAGCAGTTCACGGAGGCGGATCAAAGACAAACTCCGTGGTCGCGGTAAGAGAGGAGAAGAAGAAGAGAGAGTCAGATACGACGGTGGTGGCTCCGATTCGTTACCTCCACCGCCTTCTCCTTGGGGTTTTCTCTTCCCGGAGGATTTCGTGCGAGTCGACGGGAATCTCAAAGCGATTATTGTAGATGAGGAAGGATTAGATGTGATTTACTGGAGAAAGCTTCTCGAGCTTGAAAACAGCGGGAAAATTAGGAAAAACCCTAGACCTAGAAGAAGAGGCGGAGAAAGAGGAGACAAATCCGATGGCGGATTAGGAAGAGCTGGAGCTGATGAAGAAGAAGAAGACGAAGACGACGACGAAGATGGATTATACAGAGGATCGGGTAAAGGAGATGAATCGATTGAAGAGACGTTTTCGTTTCATGTGAAGAAATCTCAATCTCCTTCCTCCTCGGGTAGTGAAATCGGAGATCGGAGTAATAACAATAATGTTGAAGGAGGAGGGAGATACTACACTTCTTCTTCTACCTCCGCTGCTTCGCCGTCGCGACCTTCCACGAGCGGAGTAAGTGATTACGGTGCCGTTGGGAAACAATACCAATCCAAATTTCAAGCTCCTGGAGGCGGCTCATTTCCGCCTTCTCCGCCGCAGATTCCGCCGATCCAAAGCAGTGGCAGTGGCGGCGGTGGTGGCGGTCGTTCACTCCCGCTTCCTCCGGGTCAATTCACGGCGGCAATTGCTTCGTCCTCTACATCGCCACCGCCTATTCCAGCCAACCAAACATCACCACAGCTTCCGCCATCAGCTGGGGCTCCACCTCCACCGCCTCCGCCATCTGCTGGAGCTCCACCTCCACCTCCACCGCCTGTTCCGGCTAAGAAAGCACCTGCACCGCCACCACCTCCTCCGCCGGGCAAGAAAGCACCTGGCCCGCCGCCACCGCCTCCAATGTCGAAGACTGGGCCACCAAAACCGCCCGGTACTGCAAAAGGAGCGATGAAGCCAGGTGAGAGTTCTTCTGCCATAGAAAAAACCGAGGATCCAGCGCAGCCAAAGCTCAAGCCTTTACATTGGGATAAGGTTAATCCTGATGCGAGCCATTCAATGGTTTGGCACCGCATCGATGGTGGCTCGTTCAAGTAAGTATATCGTTACATTCACTAGATTCTACATACTCTTAGAATGTGAATTTTGTAAGTATTGATGGATTTTGACTTCTTGTGCTTTATATTAGCTTTGATGGTGATCTCATGGAGGCTCTGTTTGGATACGTCGGCGCTCGAAAACCAAGTGAAGCAAACAGTGTACAGCAAAAACCGACTGTTTCCACCTCGCAGACTTACATTCTCGATCCTCGAAAATCTCAGAACAAAGCAATTGTGCTTAAATCTTTGGGAATGACGAAAGAGGAGATCATTGACTTGTTAACAGAAGGCCATGATGCTGATTCCGATACACTCGAGAAGCTTTCTGGTATAGCTCCAACGCCAGAAGAACAGACAGAGATCATAGAGTTCAACGGCGACCCTACGAAACTTGCTGATGCAGAATCGCTACTCTTTCACATCTTACGCGCAGTTCCTTCCGCGTTTAACCGGTTCAACGTCATGCTCTTCAAGATCAACTATGGCTCTGAGGTTGCTCAGCAAAAGGCATCTTTACAGACACTTGAATCCGCGTGCAATGAGCTACGTGCTCGTGGGCTGTTCATGAAGCTACTAGAAGCTATCTTGAAAGCAGGAAACAGAATGAACGCTGGAACCGCCCGAGGAAATGCTCAAGCTTTCAATTTGACAGCTCTGAGAAAACTATCTGATGTGAAGAGTGTTGATGGGAAAACTACTTTGCTTCACTTTGTTGTTGAAGAAGTTGTAAGGTCTGAGGGAAAACGTGCTGCGATGAGTAGAATCTCGAATGATAACGCCGGTGGAGATATTGCGGATGCATCTAGAGAAGAACAAGAGACTGAGTTTATAAAGCTAGGTTTACCCATTATAGGTGGCTTAAGTTCAGAGTTCACCAATGTGAAGAAAGCGGCTGGAGTCGATTACGACTCATTTGTAGCCACAACGTTAGCTTTAGGCACCCGAGTCAAAGAAACGAAACGCCTTTTAGACCAAAGCAAAGGGAAGGAAGATGGGTGTTTGACAAAGCTTAGATCTTTCTTTGAATCTGCCGAGGAAGAACTGAGAGTTATTACAGAGGAACAGCTCAGGATAATGGAGTTGGTGAAGAAAACCACAAGTTATTACCAAGCTGGTGCATTGAAAGAGAGGAACCTGTTTCAGTTGTTTGTTATAATCCGCGATTTCTTAGGGATGGTCGATAATGCATGTAGTGAAATCGCAAGGAATCAACGGAAGCAGAGACCACCAACAACAGTAGCAGGAGCATCAACTTCAACAGCAGCAACATCGAGCGCTGCTGCTGCACCGCAGAGAAATGCGGTTAGGTTTCCGATTCTGCCTCCAAATTTCATGTCGGAGCATTCAAGGTACAGTTCAAGTGATTCAGACTCTGATTCTTGATAACCATAAAACCAAAAAAACAAAACAAAGATTGATCACTTTTGTTATATGTTGTATATAGATGGTAGGGAAGCTTGTTGGTAAAAAAAATATTCTTTAGGTTCTTTGAAGATGGTTCGTATGATTTTAGCCTGTTTTGTTGTTGAATTTAAAAAGCTGATTCTTTTTTGGAAGAGGAAAATTACAAACAGAAGAAATCATTGAGCTTTGTTTGTATTTCATTTTGTTATATTTTTTTTTAATATCTATTTTTGGAGTGCCGCAAATCAGCAATACTAACGTAAAATCAAACGCAAATGCTTGATTTTTGAAACCTCTGACTGAACAGGAGACTCCATTAAGTTTTCCGACTGTAAGGTGAACAAGAAAAGCGGTAGCAAAAACTTAGATACAAAACACAAAAGCTTCACAAGGATCACATGTTTCTGTTTATGTATGTAAAGATAGAGTAATTAAAACTCAAGAGAAGAGAGTATACAATCAAAAGCCCCGAGCAGAGCATAAAGCACTCTACCCATAAACCTCTTTATTCATGGCTTCCTATTTAACCACTATGCCATGGCTCGTGGCATTATCACGAACAAGAGCTTCATGGAAGCGCAGCTTTGACTTCTTTTCTGTCAGGTCCAAATGACTGCAAACAGAAGGAAGAAAAAAGGGTCAATAAGGAACACGAATTATGGACAAGCGTAAAATGACTGAATTTGTAATTCGTAATTAGTAATTACCTCGGTGCCGAATCCCTTCGCATAAACATTGGTAAAAAGCTCAGAAGGCTCTGGCATTGGGCAATCCTGAAAACAAAAGAGAGTTTGCCTAAGTGTTTACCTTTGAATTTGAAAGTTGAATATCCGAGTGGAAGAGAGAAGCAATATGACTCTTTTTATTATTACCTTCGCTTTGGCAATGGCGTCATCTACTTCTTTTCTAATTTCCTTCTCCATATCCTGAGAAAGAAAAGAAAAACAGATTTTTTTAGCGACTTAGATTATATAAACCAAACATCTGAACATTATGTAGGATGGAGAAAGAAGGGCACTGCTGTTAAAAAAGAAAATACCTTGAGCTCTTTTTCGGTTGCAAGGTCATGAGATAGTACCAGCTTTTTAATTCTCTCAATCGGATCTCGTTCCTGGGTCATATAATAACACAAATGCTCTGAGATTCAAGACACCCGAGTCCTCGATCAAGAAATAGTTTTTTGCGCGGGTAAAGAGACTAACGAACCTGCCTCACACCAGATATCTCATCTCGTGTACGGTATGTGCTCCCAGGGTCAGACATGGAGTGACCGTGGTACCTGTATGTGTCCATCTCAAGAATCTGTAAACAAGAGATGATGAAATCAATTCCCATGCAATTCATTTGATAGGATTCATTTGATAGGAGAAAAGGAAACACTAGACAAAATTGGAAAGGCAAAGCTACTATTTTTTTTATATCATCAATCACACGGTTCTTTGATGTACACTGATACACAAATCACTTCATAACTTCTATCGCAGACAGTACAGAAAAAAGGATAAAAGTCGAAGAGCTAGCTAGCTCAACAATATTTAGATATTGGAATTCAGTTCCAGTCCACTTAGAGGATGTAAATTTCAACTAGATAATGCAAAAGGAAAGAATTTTTTTTCATCCTATGATGCCGAGTCCCACAGGATAGCTAGATAATGTTCCAGGTAAATTCAAAAAATGCAACACACGACAAAGGGGGAAAAAAAACAGAACATGTAAGATTACTAAAATATAGACAAACTTACTATCGGTCCGTTCTTCAAGGCATGTTCCTTAGCAAACTTGCACGCTTGTTTGACAGCAAATGCATCCATACCATCTACCTGCTCATCCCAAAACTCGCATCAAAAATCCAGCAACCACTCAAACTCGAAAGAAAGTTCAAGAAACCCAATCAATATGAATGTAATGATAGAGGATTATGGCAACATTATCCATGAGAAAATCTGCATTTCAGCCTTAAAACTGCATCATTTCTTAAACACTTATACACTAACATCAATCCTTGTTAATGATTCAGAGCTAACCTTCAATCCAGGAACATAATCACCACGCTTGTAGTAAGATGAACTCTTGGCAGCTCTCCATTCAGCAGTTCCCATTCCATCTACACAAATCACATCACAATCCAAACCATAACAAAAGGCAACAAACAAAGAAGAAGGAAAATGCTTAGGGCTTACAGTGATTGTTCTCGCAGACTAGAATCGCTGGTAAATCCCAGAGAGCAGATATATTCAGAGCTTCAAAAAGCTGTCCCTGATTCGCAGCACCATCACCATACAAGGCGAACGTCACAGCTTCATCTTTAGAATACTTCTGCGCGAAAGCAATCCCACAACCTAACGGAACCTGAGCACCGACAATCCCATGACCACCGTAAAACGACGATTCCTTCTTATAGAAATGCATCGATCCACCTTTCCCTTTAGAGCAACCTGCTTGTCTCCCCATAAGCTCCGAGAAAACCTCGTGGAGCGAACCGCCTCGGCCTAGGAAAATGCAGTGATCGCGATAAGCCGTGATGATCGCGTCCTTCTTCGTGATCGCAGCCTCCATTCCGATAGCTACAGCTTCCTGGCCGTCGTAGAGATGGCAAAACCCTCGGATTAGCTTCGCTTTGTAAAGCGAATCGGCCGCGATTTCCATACGCCGCATCAGAGCCATGGTGCGGAAGAAAGTGAGAAGCTCTTGGCTCGATGATTCGACGGAGCGAGACGGTGGGTCGCAGAGGTGAGCGGTGAAGGGAAGCGAAGTCTCGATCGTAATCGGTGTGGTGTCCGCTGAGAGGAAGCGGCTGAAGGCGGCGGAGAGAGGTCGAGTGATGCCGTTGGATCGTGACGATAGGCGTGAGAGAGCCATCTCCACCGTTGATTTTTCAGAGGTTTTCTTCTTTCACTGAGAATCTGTTGGAAACTTCGCGCAGGAACCAAAAATGAGAGACAAGTCACAATTCCAGTGAAGAAGATGACGATAAGCGAATACAAGCAGTTTTGCTACCGAATCTAAGAGACTCTGGAAGTATGAGAAGGTCCCTACTAATTTTGTAATTGGGTTATAATTGGGTTCGGTTTAATCTTGTTTCAGAATATCTCCAATAAATTTTTTTTTTTGGACCCAAGAAAAAAAATATATTATTAAGAGAAAATTTAAGAAAAAACCTCAGTTTTAAGGATATGATTTTTGAACAATGAAACCCCACTTAAAATTTTAAGTGTTTTATCTTCATTGTAGTCTTTTTTATCATTCACTTTAGTCTTTACAATTAAATATTTCAAAAATAAGCTTAATAATTTTTCTATTTTTCATTTTATCCCATTCTCAAAAAAATTATGTATATTTTTATAAATTGTATTTAAACGTATCAAATTAAATAAGTACTGAAGAAAAAAAACAAAAGAAAAAATATGTTGTTTTATTTTTTTTCAAAGTTTGTATTTTATTATCTATGTATGGTTTAATCTTGGATTTTATATATAAATAAAGATAGATTGCTTCTCAAAAATTTATATTTTATTATCTTTGTATTTTTTTGTGTGATGTTAGATTTTTTTATTTTTTGTGTGATGTTAGATTTTATATATAAATAAAGATATTTTTTTTACAAAACTTTGTATTTAATTTTATGTAATATTAAATTTTATATATAAATAAAAATAGATGTCTACTTTTTTTTTAAAAAAAAAGATATCTTAATCAAATAAATAAAATATTTGATCACTTTATGACCACATTTAGTAATAGTTTTATTGAATAGTTTGATATTTTATTAGATGGAGGTTCACGCCATGATAAATTTATAAAACGCATATCAAATGTGATTTATAACATCAAATTATAGAACAAAACGACAGTTAAACAAACATAAAGTACCTAATAGGAAATAAAACGCAAATATAACAAACAAAACCAAATATTGGACAATACCAAAAAAAAATCCAAGATAAGTCTGTTAACATTGGATAAAAAAACTAAACAATAACAGTTGTAAACTTAGTACATAAAAATATAAAACCAAAGTAAGTTTGCTAACATATGACAATTATTTAATATTGTACGGGAACCTATAAATGGAAACAAATTATTATGAACATTTTTGATTTATATGTAACTGATAGATAAAAAATATGATTTATCTCGATCAGAATTTCACAACATCAATGTCAACAAAGTTAAGCATTATATCCAAATATCGTTTATACAACCAAAATATTTCCAAAAACTTTTCATCACCTAGAAACATTTTTTTACAATCTATGTGAAATACTACAATTTGCAAAACAAGAAAATTTTTTACGAAATATTTGTATCATGCCCATTTGTGATTTTTCAGAATTTAAATATACATATAATAGAATTTATACACTTTCTGATCTAAGCTTGCTCATGACTAAAACATTTTACAGAAGTTCAGCTTATGTTCCACCATATGGTTGACAAAATATACTGTGCAAACTCAAAACACAAGTTATGTATACATCAGCTGATCCACATGGAGTTGATTTCCTTGTCATCATTTTTACTATGGTTGCTAGTGCTTTCTAAAAAATTGTTTGTTTTTTGGTGTCGTTTTAAAAGATTGAATCAGATAGTTTTCATGTAAGAATTCACCATTTATTACATTTTAGATAAAAGTGTGGATGCTATTTTTAGTTTAATAAGATGTTAATGTGGGAAAACAAATAAAAGAAGTCGAAATGCGTTCGAAATGCTAATGATGTGTGTGCTATTTTCTTGAGTAATGAGAGTTTGACAAATTAATGAGTCACTGCCATAATTTAAACTACTTATATAAACAGTTATCCATAAATAGTCAAATCAAATTTTTTAAAAAAATTTAAACTAATAACAGAAAATTGATTTGAATAAAAAATACATAATTACTCTTTTTGTATAATGTTTTGGCTTTCTTCGTCATTTTCATCTGTAGTTCATACCTTTTTTCTCAATCTTTCTGCTGACTTTGAGTTTTAACTGTTTGACGACAGCAGACTTGGCATAACTCAATCTATTTTTCTTAGATACCAACTTCCCATCTCTAATTAATACTTCTTTGGTTTTTGTCTCCGTAACTTCCACTTTCTTATAGCTTTCCGAATTCACTTTTGCTTTTGAGCTATTTACTTAGAGTAAGTAGCACTCTTTTAAAAATTAAAACAAACTAAAAATTCAAAACAAAAAAACTTCATTATCCGCAGTATACATATTCTCAATATCCTTACTTCCCGTTTTACATCTCCACTTAATATTATACCCTTTAAAATCATTTTTATGTCTCCTACATTTTCATTACCTAGTTTCAACGAGCTCTTTTCTTCTTTACGAGGAGGTTCCACCCATTAAGAAATTTATCACCATCATCTTTTACATTCGCCAGTGTAGCTAGATAAGGCATGTCGATAACTTGAGATGTTACTGCAAGCAGACTTATTCCAAAATATATTTGTGCAAACCAAAAATCAAAGCACACCTAAATAACTCAAAACATACTAAAATTATTACTCAAAGAGCTTCTAAATGACTCAAACGTAAAAACTAATGCCAAACATACCAAATTACATGAACTCGTCAAAATTTCTGATCAGCTCTTACCGTTATCAGCAAAAAAAACAGTAAAAACAAAAAAAAACACTTCAAATTGATTTTTTTTATTTATAAATAACAAATGTAATATATCTCTTTCTCTTATAACTTAAAAAATTATAGAAACCAGCTAGACTCAGAATAGATAATTCGATGGGTTCAAGAATCATAAAATTGATGTGAGTGCGAGACACCAGATTTGTGACTTCGTGAATAATAATACTCATTTTGTTCAGAATTATTTGATGTTTTAAGAGGTTTTTTTGTTCTTAAATAATTGATATTCTCACTTTTCAATGAAAAAATATAATATTCTGCAGATCATTTTCTTATTGGTTGAATTATATTTAAATAAATTATAAATTATGGTTTTAGTGTAAAAAAATAAAAAAATAAAATAAATTTTTATTCTGTGTGCAGAAACCTTAAACATCACATAATTCAGAATAGAGGGAATATTTTTTTAGTCAAATACAAAACCTAATCCTCGCAATATCACAATCTGGTTTACTCAATCAATGCAAGAGTTGGAGTTAACATTAAAAGGTTTTCTGATTTAGGAAAAAAAAAAACAAAAACAACCTAAAATAGAAGAAAATCCAAAAGTAGTTCCCTGCCTCCACCACGTTCTCACCAAGTGACCTGTTGTCCATTAAAACCCTTAGCATTCCCAATCAACTTCCGTTTGTTTCCTCGTAGAGGAACGAATCCAAATGTTAAGCAAGAAACTGGTCTTCTGGACCAAAGTGCTGACTCGTCAATACTTTTGTCTCTTTGGCTCTGGTTCCTCAGGATCCTCAGGTACTAGAGGAGGAGGACTAGGCTGATCACTAGCAAGCTGAGGTCCCGATGGACTAGGCTGCATTTTTGTTAGTCGGCTCATTATCACTGAAAGGTATTTAGGTGATGGATAGTCAGTAGAATACTCTTCATCCTCCATGTAAGCAAAACAGTCAACACCACTTACAAAAGCATGCAAATTATAGCCATTTCCACTCCCTCCCACTCCCTCCTCCAGCTTCTCCAGTTGAAGACGTTGGAAAAAATCCTCAATAACGGTCTCTGCCGTAGAAGCATCATGACTCACCTGATCGGAAGTTCTTAATACTCTGGAATACGCATTCACAAGCATATTGTACAACAAATATGGCTTGCTATAACATGGCTTCATAAACTCAAATTGAGGGTTCTTATCCACTGTCTTCATCAACTCCCGATGAAAATAAGGCCCATACCGTGCCTCAAACTGCGCTGTGAGCTTAATAATACCAAGCTCCTTGAGTGGGATCTCACTTTTATGGCCTACCAATACAAGACTGGATCGTCTTAGAGGTGGATCCCATATAGGAGCAAGAACGGGTTGCACATCACACTCATGAATATCCACAACTCCATCTTGATTCTCAGCATGGTGTCCCAGTGGATAGGCCTTAGAAAACTCTTCATACTTCATTTCAGCAAAATAGTCAACACCATCAAGAAAAACATACAAATCACTCACAACCATCTCAGTCTTCTCCTCCAGCTTCTCCAATTGAAGACGTTAGAAAAAAACCTTAACAACGTTCGCCACCATAGAAGCATCCCTCTTACTCAGCCTCCCCAAATCCGTGAATACTTTGGAATACGCACCAATACGCTCGCTATAGTAAATGTACATGCGATCAGTTGGCTTCATAAACACAAACAGAGGATTCTTATCAACTTCCTTCTTCAACGCCCAACAAAAACACGGCCCATACCGTGCCACAAACTGTGCTGTGTAGTTAACAATACCAAGCTCCACGTGTAGCCTCGATATTGCACCGAAATGTGGAAGATATGAACGACGGTCAAATTGATACCTCCTGCTTAAAAGAGTATTAGATATTTGTGGAGGTCGCAATTGTCCTAGTCGACGCACAGTCATTGAAAAGCGTTCAGGTGGTGGCATGACAGAAGAATAGTCTAAATTCTCCATGTAGGCAAAGCACTCGACACCACTCACAAAAGCATGCAACTCAAGTACTCAACCGTAGACACCTCCACTTTGCACAAGAAAACATTAACAACGGTGGCCATAGAAACCCTCTCGGAGTGGCTTAATACTCCCGAGTAAGCAAGAAGACGCCCACGGTAAAAGTTAAAAAATTTACCACAAGTTACCCTCGTAAACTCAAACCGAGGGTCCTTATCTACTCTTTTCATCAAAGCCGACGAAAAATACGGACCCCACCGCGCCACAAACAGAGCTGTGAGCTTAATGATACCAAACTCTTGTGGTGTCATATTTTCGGGAAACGTAAATGCAAGATCTCTGAAAGGTCTTATAGGCGAAATCCTTGAAGGAGAAGGAGGAGACTCAAGATCGGGAGGTGCATCACGTACACACTCGTGAGCATCTGGTTGGATATCATGAGGTCCATCTTGATATTGAGCAAGGTATTCAGAAAGCCTTCGCTTGTAATATACGTGACAAGGGTCTGAGCTCCACAAAAAGCTGTATTTTGGATTATTCTCATAACAGGCCTTGATCTTACTCTCAAGCATTGACCCCTTCATGGAAACACAACGTGCAATTCCGTCGATAAAATCTCTGTTTTTTGGAGCCGGATCAGTGATTCCTGAATCAGTCTGCGTCGAACTGGACATTCTATGTCAGCCAGGAAACACAGCGCCGCCGCGAGAACTTCCGTGACGTCGAGAAGAAGCGCTAAACGAACGACTTCGAGATCTAGGGTAATCCACAAAACGATGAGACGAGAAGCAGTGGAAGAAGAAGAAAAAAAAATTTAAAGGTTTTTAGTTTTGACAATTAACTAGATCTTTGTTTTTGTTAGATTTTTTTAGACATAATACAAATTAGAATAAAGATATAATTGTAGAATTTATATATTGTAGAACATATAGAGAGAGATAGAATGTATTTTCACAAAGAATGTGATTCTCACATTTTTTACACTTATTAAAAAAATTATTAAAAAATACTATTTTACCTTTTATTAATGCATTAAATAACTTTTTTTCTAATTAATACATTAAATCAATAGGGTCAAAACTGGAATATTGTTTAAAATTCTGTATTGAAAATATAAAACGACACTCTTTGTGAAACAAAAATAAAACCTTAAAATGACACTCTTTATAAAACGGAGGGAGTATAAAATATAGAAAAAAAAATTAATAAATATTCTAAGTGTCGTAGAATACATATAAAAGAGAGATAAAATACATATTCTATCACTTAGTAGAACATATTGTAAATGGTAGAATACATATTTTAAATTTGGTAGATAGTAGAGTAAATACAGAACACACAATCCATCAAAAATTGTAGAACTAGAATATAAATTCTAGATTTCGTAGAACAAGCAAATTTTTTTTTTCCAAAAATTTCTAACATATATTTCTTTCCTTTTTGTATTTTACGAAATTTTAATTTTTTTATATTATTTCAATTTTATTTATATTAAATTAAGGGTAAATTAGTCAAAAGATGAAATACTAAAAAAAAATCTTAAAAGGATAATAGGTGAATTTTCTGTCCTATATTTCCAATTTTTCCAATATAATTCAGTTTGTGAATTTTATTATTATTTATATGTAATTTTATATAAGCTTGTATATTTTTTTAATTGTTACATAGTTATTTGTAAAATATTTATGATTTTAATTATGATCAATAGTGGAGATAATAATGCAAGATACCAAAAACTTTATAAGGTTTTTACTTGAGATACATAATACATTTAGAGGAACAATTGTAAACATCAAATTTGGCTTACCTCAAAAAATAGAATTTTCTTTTTTCGGAGATGCTCTAAAAGATTAGTTTTGCTTTTTTCTTATTATGTTCAGTTCAAAAAAAGTTTCCACGTACAGACAAAATATTACAATTGTATTCATTAAACTCAGCCATGTTTCAGATAAGATTTTGTTCAGATATTTGGAATGAACACTCCTACTAGTAAACACAAGATTAGCAGCTTAAATTGCAAAAATGAAGAAAAACTAAGACAAGATTGAATTGAAAAAGGACACATAACATTAGAAGGAATAATATTCAGCATTTGTTTGAATGAATGAATTGAAAATCTCCGATTTTAGCATCGTCATTACATATATAATCTAACACTATACACCAAAACTGGCGACTCGACAACGAAATTTAGGAAATTAAAAATCATGGTTTGTCATGTGAATCTCTTTAAGCCAAATGATGCAAGAATCTTGTCAAAGACAGTTTGGTCTCTAGTCTCTACCACTCACTAACTGATACTTTGCATATCCTAGCCCAAAACTTCACATCTGCACAATATACAAGCCTTTATCGCGAATTAGAGATTACTGAGAGGATTTGCATGTTGATGAAGGTTAAGCTGCAGTGATTAAAAGAGGGTTTACTTACGTGCTTGAAGCCGTCATTAAGGCAAGGCAATAAGTCTGCGGCTAAGACATAAGTGAAAACGCGATATGCTTCTGTTTTTCGAGATTTCACTGCTACCGGAAGTTTTTGCACTGTCAAGCTCAGTTGGATTCGGTTTTGGTTTCTTCTGCTTACTTCTATACAGAAGATCTGCTGTGTTTGGCTCATACTTGACCTAATTATCAATTGGCAACTCTTCATAATCATATTTACGTTACAAAAAAAACAGAAAATATATCTCATGGGATAGATTTTTTACCTTGGAAGAACTGCAAGCCATTTTACATTCGACCTCGTTGATAATTTTCAGTCCAACCATTGCACGTGATATCCCTGAAGATTCCTCTGGAGCGTTTAGTTTCGCCTTGTTCCTGAAGAGAGTATGTTAAGTATGATTACTAACTGCAAATGCATAACCAAAGACGTAAAAAAGTATGCTCTTATCATTGCTTTTTTCACTCACCTCTTCAGAAACAGTCCAGGCTTTTCTTCATCAGGTACAATCGAGAGAAAGTCAGTCTGCAGATAATTTGCAAAACCTGGTTCCACTGTTACAGCTGTAACTTCGGGCTGATCGTTCCCGCTGTTCATAAGTTGAATCGAGAGGCGGGTTTGAGCAGATGTCTGCATAGAAATTTGCAAGGACAGATTAGTGTGTGAGACCATATACACGACTGTCCATGAATGTCAAGAGAAGCATACATATTCAATCCGGTATATGTTCTGATCATGGAGAAGGGCTCGGGCATTCTCATGGTACACTACATCAAAGAATCTCCCCGGTTTTCTGTAGTTCTCATAATCATATAGTTGCAGCAGCTTGGTGTCTGTCTCATCAGCTGCAACTGCATGAAGCTGAAGCATGTCCAAGCCACTTGACTGATAAGTACAGAAAAAAAAAAAAACAAAGGAGGAAGAAAAAGAAGCAGAGTCAAGACAAGAATAGGTTGCAGGTGAAATGGAAACTTACATGCTTAACAAACTTCTGAACTAGCTTGTCCAATGTGAAGAGAACATATGATTGTGCTCCAATTATAGCTCGGCATTCATCTTCAAACTTTGTATTATCGCTCGAGCCGTCAAGTAAATTATAGAGGGCATCCATGAACCTATGCTTCAAAACATCAGTAGGGAAGGAACTATTGTTTCACTTTAAAACTAACAATACTCTGTAGAAAATAAATCACCTGGTGTAAGAATCAGGAGATGTGTTATCTGGATCTGGAGCTTTCCATTTCCTCTCTGAATGTATCTTTGCAGATAGTATTCTCTCGTACAACATCTGAAAGAAAAATCAACAGAGTTAGCGGTTTGAACTGAAGACAAGTTGAAATTTCAGGAACTTGAGAAGGTTGTTTCGTAGTCCTTACTTGATGAAGCCTGAAAAGCACATAAAATGAATCGTTCCCATAGAAAACTCGAGAATCATTCCGGGAGTCACTTTCTTGCAGTGGCCCAGGCACATGTTTTGCAAGGGGCTTTACAGGCAGCAGATACCGTTCTGAAAATGTGAAAAAGGATCCATCTTCACCCTCGTTGGAATTAACCATCCCTAGAGCCTCGTTTTCACTCTCAGCAACATTATCAATCCGGTCACAGTTCATAGCTCCTTTACGCTCTTCCTCGGAAGAAACATGGCCACCAAACTTGCTTCCTGAGGCAATAATTTTAGAGTCATTTTCATTCACTTCTGATAAGTTTTGAGTAATTTTATTTCCATCATCTTCAGGAGGAGATTTGCTCCTCTCTCCAGCTTCAGTACAGCATCCCTCCTCTTTGTGTTCTAGGTCTTTGTTACTTCTAACATTGTCCGGCAGTTTCTGCACAGACTCGAGGCCATTCTCTCTATAAACCTCAAAATTGTCTTGCTCAAAACTTTCGGTAGGAGATAATTCACCCTCTTCTCGCTCAACCTTAGGCTCTCCCTTTGATACGTCACTAACCTTACTACAATTCTCTAAACCTTCCTTTACTAACTCGTTTCTGGGTGACACCACTTTGGAAGGCTGGCTATCCTGCAGAACCAAAAACCAAATTAGGAAAAAATCTTTCTCACTCTTATATAAGATATCTGTCTCAAGTCTCATAATGAAATAAATTTTGGATTAGTTACTCTTGAATGCCTTCTTAAGGCATCTTATTGATACGAAAGGAAAACAACTTTCATTTATTTTCCCAACTTCTAAATAGGTCATACCACCATCAGTTGAACTTATGAGAACCTACTATATTTAGTCAGCGAAAAGTGTATATGGCCTCAGCTAAAGAACAAAGGCAACAGAAGGGAAAGACAACATAATTACCTCATTAGTCATAGCTGCATCAACATCTAATTTATCTTGCTGAATGGTTTCTTGTGTTGTGTTGACCGGGTTTTCTTTGTTCGGCGTTTTTGGAGGTACTGGATCTTTAAGGCCAGAGGCAAGAGAACCCTCACAAGTATTTTCCTTCACTGCCACACATGCATCATGCTCCTCTGGGTTGTCCTTTACCTTTGCAGCATCTCCCATTGTCTCATCCTTTACCTGTGCAGCATCTTCCATTGTCTCATCAGTTTGAGACCTAGAAGGAACGCCAAACATGGGCTCCAAGAACGTTACCCACAGCTTCATAACTTTATCCGACTGTTCAGTAGCACATATTTCTTCGCAGTAATACTTGATTAGTTGATACAGGTCAGCATGAACTTGTGTATCAGAATAAATGAACTCCACATCTGGGGTGAATGAGGGCTTAGTTCCAACAGCAATGGCATAAAGCGGGTCTTCTTTATGCTTTCTATCACTGATATCTTTTATTTCAGCCACTAAACCTGCATTTGGGGACGTAACAGACAACTTTACTTAATGAAAATTTGCACTTAAAATGATACAAGACATTCTCTATGTTTCATCATCATTTCTTCAACAATTATGAGGCCTTAATATATTACACTACATCCGCGTATAAAAGGAATATTCCTGCATTCTTCTATGTAGGTTTGAGTGCAGCAAAACAAAATCAACGATTTTTAGCAAACCTAATTTAGGTTGGTAATCTAAACGAAGTTAACTTATACTTGGAGTGAGAAACTGTAAGAAAACATACCTTTTGTGCTCAAATTCTTGGAGTCTTGCTGCTTGAAATAGAAACTACGATGATCTAGTGATTTGTGATGGTTCTTAGCATATACTTCAGCCCATACTTTCCTGAAATCAGAGCGACACCTAGCCCATTCTTCTTGTTTCTGCTTCAAGCGGGTTAGTATCACCGGTAAGGCGATGTGAGAATTCTTCTTCAAAAAATCCATTACGTCAAGCCCATAATCCCCGTACAACCGTTCAATGCATCTTAGGTTCAGCTCTATTGAATTGTCACATATAAGAGCATCAGCCAAGTAAAAGAATAATAAACATACATCTAGCACAACCAGATTGACTAATTAACACTTGCCAGATAAGTGTTCTTTGATACAAATTGGTGTCTCTATAGAGATTGTGTTGTTGTTGATCTTTTCCAGAAGACTTTCCACACGCTTAATGGCTGCATTCACAGACTCTAATAACATGTCCAACTCAAACCTGAAACCAGATCAGGAAACTAAAAGATCAGATGGAAGTAGAATTTATTTGGCAAATATATTGTCAGCAAATAGAAAAACAAAACCCACAATATATCCACACAAATTTCAGTCAACTTACTGAAATGAGAGGACTCAACCGAATAAAAACAATTAATGAACAACAGGAAATCAATATGCCATAAAAAATAAAGACTCCTAATCAATATATAAAATAGAAATACAGGAACCCAATATACTATATACGTCTTACCTGTCATCCTCACATCGAAACAAACTTTCTTCATACTGGTTTTTGCGCATGTGTTTGAATGAGTAATCCTCACTCCCCGATGTGACAGATACCCAATGATCATTGAGTACTTTTTCACCAAGTGAATTTCTGTAGCTTGGAATCTGAATGGGATACTACACAGGAGAAAGCCAACTATATCAGCATAGAGCACAAAATGATGCACTAAATTGAAGTATGGTAGATAAAACTATTTAAGGTTTAACAGGCGCTCACATCCTCGGGCAAGAGACGATAACTTGGTGTACATTGTGCACACTCAGTAAGGTCCAATTCATTTATAGCCTTGGCCAGATAGTTGCTGGAAGATAGTACATTTTTTTGACTTCCAATGCAAAAAGCGACCGTTCTATCATTTTCTGGATATCTTTCATGACCCCCATTATTTTCATAATCTTGCATCCCCTCGTTGTCCTCGACCTTCGGGTATCCCGGCCATTGACCTTGATTAATAAGGGATTCTGCAAATATTAACATAGTTGGACCTTAGCACCAGATAAACACTGATCAATCCATTGAAAGAGACGAGACTGACAATGACCGCACGATATGTTTCACAGATATATACTACTTTCCCTATTATATCAAATCCACTGAAGAGTGGAAGACATATTTGTAATAATGCTCTCAGCAGGCACTGAGCCAGGCCGTCATAAATACAAAAGCAAAGAAATATAAATTAAAATGCTACAGGTGATCCAAATACTCACTTCCCAGAGAATTACCAGCAGAACACGCCACAAGATTCTCGTCACCATCTTCTCGTTGATCGGAGTGTTCAGCGTAATCATTACTCCTTAGTTTTATTTTCTGTGGCAGGTATGAGTCCATATCAACATCTCACTCAAACGCTGAACCATCGAGTTACTTAAAACATATTTTTTTCTCATACTTTTGAAGTAAACTGCGTCTTAATTCCTATAACTATCTTGTTCTTAATTTATCACTCTTAGAACAATTAGGGAAAGGATGTTAATACTTTCCATATAAGCATGCATGGCCACAATGCAGGCTTTCTACCACAAACAGCAATTAGAAATATTAGTATCCTCGCTGTGAACGATATGTGAACCTTTTAGAAAGAAGAATAAGAGAAACCTTATCAAAATGCTTTGGATGCATGGCAGGAACTGCAGAATTATTATCACGGGGTACTGCATTTCTTCCGGAAAAAGGGTACACAGAACCTGATCCCGAAGTATCAGGTAAGAAATGAACAAACTCCACAAGTAGATCTTTATGGTCATGGAACAACAGAGCAACCTGTAGAGCAGATAGGAATCAGAAAAAAAAAATAAATCACAAGAAATCCGGCTTTAATCAACTAAAATGCGAGGCAGAAAAGTAGAGCAAATCAGCACTATGGACATTTACTGTAAATCACCTCTTGATAGACATCGGCGATGGACTTGCTTTCCTTTCTATACATGTTCAAGATGTCTAGAAATCTTTTATACGCACGGTCATCATTCCCAAATCGCGCCTAGAGCAACAAATCACCAGTAACGTTAACTGTTTAGTTCATGACAAAACTGGTATATGATAATATGATTCACAACACTACATACATACCTTGATCTTGTTCACAAATTCGATAGCTTCTCCGAAGTCCACTGGCCTCTTCTCCGGGAGGGTTATTTTATACCCTTTGGGCAAGAAGGTATTAAAACCCAAAAGCAAGTCATCATAGCCCTTGAACAACTCTTTCACTCTTGCTATGACACCATTTGTGTCAACCCTACAAACCAAACATGAGAAACGAAGAAATTAAATCACATTTCCGGTTGTAAGAGGAAAGACCAAAGTAGAAGAGAGAGCAAAAATGCATCAATTACCTCTGAGCTTTAAAGTCTTTCATGACTTCAAGGAAAGTGTCATACTTCTCTTTCTTGTCTTGAAACATATCCTTCACAGCTTTGAGATAGCTCAAGGCATCATTTGTTGTTAGCCCTCCCATATTCCCTCCTCCTCCACCAATCGTTAATGGCTTACCATTTCTGCATCACACAAACATGAAGCTGCTTTTCGGCATTTAAACATCGAAAAATCAAATTAAATTTCCCCCTTTGAAACTGCTGTAACTCTGCTCATATAAGGTAGTTAAACCAAGAACAATTGTAGACCTCAAGAGAGAAAAATCAAACTAATATCCCTTGCAAACAAACAAAAAAAGTACAGAATTTGAAAAGAACACAAATCAAAAAACAAAAAGAGATTACGTTTCTCCTCGAGACGAAACGGTAGGTCCTCGTATCTGAGCTTCAGCGTAAACCTCTTCTCTAACCCTCTTCATTTCTTTTCACCGGAATATGAATTACACAATTAAACAAAGATACACGCTTTTCACTATAAACCTGAAACCAATCGAAGTTCGAGAAAAAAACACAAATTCAAATCTTTTTCCCTCTAATAACAAACAGAAAAACCAGATCTATCTCCCATAATCGAAAAAAAATCGAAGGTAAAAAGGATAAAACTTAAGAAAGGAGATATTCTGATATTTCAAACCTTACAGAGACCGGATCACATTCTACGACAAAAGCGAACTTCTATGTTCCGTCCGAAGAAGATAAAACGTACATAGAAGCGATTAAAGAAGAGTGGATCGGCGACGTAACCCGCCGCCGTGAGTTTGCCGGAGAAAAGAGATACGAATCTTCACACGAAAAAAGAGAAATAAACAACAAAGAAAAGCAAACGGAGACGATTGCTTCTGGTTTGGATCTCTCTTATCTCTCTCTATCTCTCTCGCTTTATCTCTGTTTCTCTCTCTCTCTGAGATACAAATAGTTTGAGAAGCGAAAGAGGTTACCCGTAAAAACCAAAGGCTAAAGCTCGCGAGCAACAGAGGGAAGAGAAGGCCTGTGTATATGTATATGCATATGTATGTGTATATATATATGCGGAGATAATAATCAAGTGTGTTTATAACTAGGATATACTCATGCATTTAAAGTTCCCTTTTTAATTATAACCTTTGGAGTGTGAAATAGATGTGTTTCAAATGGTAATTTTGGATTTTCCTAATTAATTTGCATGGTCAAAATGAGGGCACGGTTTTATATACAATGAATTCAAAGGGTAAATTAGTAGCAAAGTGGGATTTTTATTCATGCATATGTATCTTCTGTTAAGGAATATAATCTTCCTAATTAGCTAAGTTTTGAAATTATGACCTGTTTTTAACCATGTCTACATAGAAAAAAAAATATATGTGATGTAGCATAGATTTAGATAGAATTACCACGTGTAATATTTTTGTTTGATGTATCTGCTTTCTTGATTAGGTTTTAGGATTTTCTAGAGTTGGTTAGATTTTAGATTTTTTTTAAAATATAGCTTATTGTTATTAATGTTTAAACTTTAAAGGATTTTTTTATTGATTATTAGATAGATTTTTTTTTGTGGACCTATGATTTTACTTAGAAACTTTTGTTTTATTTTGATATATTAAATTAAATAAATAATTTTATGATTTCTTATGGCTTTTTAGTGTTTTCAAAAGTGGGATTAAAAATTTGTTTCATATGCTTTTGCTATATCTAAATATTTTATCATTTGACAAGTAAAACTTTCACCATAGATTGGCAATCTAATAATTCACTTTTGTGCTTTTTTCTCACCACCCATTTTACCATATAATTTTTTACATGAATATTTCTCTAAATCTTTGATAATTTACTATGACAGACCTATTATATGATGTATCATGTATCTATAGTTGGAAGATACTCAACAAAAATGAAGTTTTAACATGTATATTATTTTGAAGATCATGTTTTTTGGGTGAAAAATAAACTTTTTTATAAGTCTTAGAGATGGACTAGTTTTTATTTCTACACATTTTCAAAATGTCCTATTGTGTGTTGTATATATCTATAGTTGGAAGATACTCAACAAAAAAATAAAGTTTTAACATGTATATTATTTTAAAGATCGTAATTTTTTTTTGTTTGTAAAAATACACTTTGTTAGAGTTTTTAGAGATGAATTAGTTTTTATTTCCACACATTTTCAAATGTTCTATTGTTTGTTGTATTATGTATCTCTATAGTTGGAAGAAGAAATATGGGATATTAATAATATATGGGTATTATTAATACACAAAAAAACGCTACTATTATATGGGTATAGTGGCGATATCATAAACGCTAAGACAGTGGGAGGTATTGATTGGTTCACCCGCTATCACCCGCAAACGCAGCATTTGCGGTTGGTAGCGGTTAGTGGCGTTTTATTGCAAATCGTTCCGTATCGTTTTATACAGCTGAAATCCAAAAGCTGCTTCCCGCCAGCGTTTGCGGTTGCGGGCGGTAGCGGTTAGGTAAAAAAATAAAAATAAAAAACTAAAATCATGCTAAAAAAAATAAAAGATCACGTTAAAAACAATTATAAAACCCTAACCATACTAATCTTCTCCTATATATATAAACCCTAACCTCTCACATTTTCTATCAAGTTCTAGTATGTAATCATGGCTTTTATATGAGTTGAAGAAAATTAAGATACAAGCATAGGTGCCAATACTTTGGTTTAATTCATTTATATTAATTGTTCTGTTTCCATTTTTAAAGTAAGAAATTATAAATATGTATTTTATTAATTACAAAATTAGTTTGTTATAATTCTTTTTTTTTTGTTTTTCAGAAAGTTACATGATCAAACGAGATGACATGTGCGTTACTTCAACGGATCATTGTAAAAAACAAACTCAAAATAAATATCCTAGATTTTTGAGTGCACGAAAGAATGTATTTTGAAGAATACTAATGAGCAATTTGGAGTTGATTTGAGTTGGGTCGTGCAAAAAATCGATTAGATCAGTTCACGAAATTTTACATCATGCATAAGACAAATCCAGAAGATCCACGTATTTGAGCAAAATTTTTCGAGTCTATTATATTACTAAACACTATTTTGGGTGATGTTCCCAAAAATTGAAATAAAACATATTATTATAAAATTTATTAGTTTTTAAAAGAATTATTTAATATTTATTTATAATTTTTATTAATTATTTTGAACTAATGATTATGATATTAATCATAATTGTTTTTTTATAATTATATATGATGTTTATTTTGGTAATTTTATGTTTAACCGCTAAATAAACCGCTGGTTTGCCAGTCAAAAATGTCCCGCAAATGGATCCACCTTAAAAAGTTTAATCAGTCATGCAAACCGCTGAATAACGCTCAAAACCGCAATCGTCCGCTTCCGCAAACTCTCGTACTCGCAACCGCAACCGTTGTGTTTAAACCAGTCAAGCCCATAATAGGTTTTATGTATTATAGCGGTACTCGATAGCGGTTTTACGTATACTATTATATGTTTTACTATTATAGCTCTAATCGAATGTTTTAATATATTTATTATAACATTTTTTAGTGCTGTTTTATATTATGTTGTAGCCTTTTTTACGTGCTCATCACAAATGATGATTTACTATATTATTTCAATATATTTGGTCGCTACTTTACAGCATATAATAATTTAGTTTCCAATATATATTCAGAAGTTATTTTAAAAACATGTTTCATTCCATGAATCGTCAAAAGATACATAATTGTAGTTTACATAAATAGTTTAACTACATGGAAGTTGAGATGATTAACAAGCTACTTTTCTACATTCCTTCACCAAAAGAAACATCCATACATTTTTTTTTTGCTAAATTGTAAATATTCATTAAAAACAAAATTTTTAGATGTTACAAATTGTTAAACAAAATGTTCGACCTAACAGATTGGTCTCATGGCAAAAAACGTGAAAAAAACATGGAAACAAAATACAATCGGTACTAATTGACACTATAGCAATAAAGCAATTTGGCATCAAACAATAGCGATAAAGAGCTTGAGACGATCCGAGGAAAAGTGGAACCAACATATGATCAAAAGGAGAAAACTAGAAGAATGCTCGAAGAAACATCCACAAAGCAGAGCGGAAGCTGTTTCATCCGGCAGCCTGAAAAAGAGCTATTCCTCTAAGAAGCCAAGAAAACCCGATCAAAGACTGCCCTCAAAATCTAATAATCGGCATACAACTAACAAACCTAGATCCAGCACTAGGACAGGACTACACTAGCTGTCGAAGCTAAGAAGCGCTACTAACTCTACCAAGATCCTCCCGATGTCGGCTAGCACATAGCCAAGCGACAACAAGCAAAGACAGCCTTACTACCTCCTCCGAAAGCCACGCGAACAAGACACAAGACCGAACTAAAAGCATTCTCAATCCAAAGCACACAAACAGAAACACTTAATCCATCAGAGAGAAACAAGCAAACATCCGCAACAACGACGAGACAAGGAGCCACCAGAGACAAAAAAATCTGTTGGAACTGAGCAACACCGCACCGAGACTGAGCACTTGAACACCCGATTTGGCACAATATACCTCACGCTGCCACCAGAAGCACGCGCAGAGCCACCAGGAAAGTCACCGCCTTGAAGAAACGCTGCCGCTGCGAGCTAACCTAGAGACGACGCCGAGCTCGCCACAGGCTTTGATACACTAAGGGAGGAGAGGAAAGAAGCAGATCTGATAGCAGCACGCCGAGACCCGTCCTCGAAGATCTCACACCACGCACCGCTTAGAAAATCCGTCTAACTGCACCACCATGAGAGAAAACGCAGCGGCAACACCAAGATCTAGAGAGATCCCACACCGAGCGCCATGGATCTACCACCGGAAGTCGAAAAGCAAATGATCTGCCAAAAGCCACACACCTCCTTCGATACAACCATCCGCACAGAGCCACCAAAGCACCACCGACGCACCGCCCCAGGCGAATCAAACCGAAGAGGACAAAGGTCTCCCCGGCAGCGGCGAGGAGCGCCAACCACCAAGGAGAAAGATCAAGATATTAGGGTTTGGCGGCTGAAAAAGATTGGGAGAGGAAACGGCTGGAGAGAGAAAAAGCGTTTTTCTTGACCGAAACATCCAAACATTCATTCACTAAAAGCAGCATCCATCATGTGAGACATCTCTCTTATGCAGGGAGACTTCAACTGCTCTCCTCTGTTATTCAGAATATCGTTGGCTACTGGTGCTCTGCTTTTATTCTTCCAAGACGCTGCATCAAAGACTTAAAAAAAATCTGCAGGCTCTCCCTATGGTCGGGCTCTTCGGAAATCCCGAAACAATGCAAAGTGAGTTGGGATAAAGTTTGCTCGCCAAAGAGCCAGGGAGGTTTGGGTTTGCATAATATCAGTTTGTGGAATAAGGTCTATGGTCTCAAATTGATCTGGCTTCTCTTCTCATCGGCGGGTTCCCTCTGGGTGGCTTGGTGTAAGAGATTTAAGTTGAGGAGGAAAAGTTTCTAGGAGCTCTCGCCTAATGCAAAAGGCTCTTCAATGTGGAAACAACTCCTCAAACTTAGATCTGTGGCCTCCGGCTTCCTATCTTGCGAGATTGAAAATGGTCAAGACTACTACTTTTAGTTTGATAGTTAGACCCCTTTTGGTCAACTCCATGATTTCCTCGGTGCAGATTGTCACCAGCTTCTTGGGCTTCCCCTGGATGCAAAAGTCGCACATGCAATATCGGATGAGGGCTGGATGTTTCGAGGTGCTCGTAGTGACAGGATTGAGCAATTTCTTACCTTCCTAACATCGGTCCAAGCCTAATACTGTAGACAAATTCCTTTGGAAACGAAAATTGGGAGATGCTAAAGACTTTTTCAGCTTCTCAGATACTTGGTCTTCTATCAGACCAGAGCAGGCCGAGGTTCCTTGGCACAACAGAGTTTGGTTCTCCGGTTCAGTTCCGAAGCACTCCTTCACGATGTGGCTGTGTTCTCTTAACAGGATGCCTGTTCTTTCTCGTTTATTTGATTGGGGTGTTGTGGG